GCTTCAGATTGGTTTCACAGGTCGGCGCAACATCAAGGGCCGAAGGGCCTGTACTGTGCTGTAATGTTCTATGTTCTATGATCCGTTGGTTGTGGGATTGATTAGCTCTGTCTATCACTTGCTGCTTTCGCTGTTTGGTGCGCACGTAGTCCTGTTTGGTGGCTTCACCAGGTTGATACCTCATCTTCAGGTATGCCTGGTGCTGCTCCTGGCATGCCCTCCTGCACTCTCCATTGAACCAGGGTTGATCCCCTGGCTTGATGGTAATGGTTGAGTGGGGGATATGCCGGCCCATGAGGTTACAGATTGTGCTGGAGTACAATTCTGCTGCTGTTGATGGCCCACAGCACCCAGGACCAGTGACATGGAATCTCCTCGGTGGTTAATCATACTTGTCAGCCAGTAATGGCCAACATATGCCACATGATACGATGGAGCATATTACAAAAGTGAAGATGGAACTTTGTCTCCACAGGGACTGTGTGGTGGTCACTCTTACTGATACCACGTGGACTAATTAGAGAACATTTTCAAAAACTGGAACAGGCAAGATAGACCAAATAGCCTCCTCCATTGTGCTATTCCAGGTCCAATTGTGCAGTTATGCAGACACATGGATGCTGCCAATCTCAGGGCAGAGAGATACAACTACTGTAGCTCTAGTACAAAAGCATGACATTTCAATGAGATGCAAGATGCTATCTAGCCTTCATGTATTTTTATTAGGATAGTCCCATTGAATAGACAAGAAATACTTTTTTTTATTTGCTCCTCTATATCAGAACTTGCCAATGAACATGGCACTATTTGAATGAATGTAGTGGCCAGATATTTTTACAAGTTCAATACCTAAGCTCAGGACAGAACATGACTGTGATATCCGTGCCCTTGTCACAGCACTGACTTGGTCGGAATTCAAATAACTTCGAATAGCTCATATTTCACAATGATCCCAAAGTTCAATGGGAAGATCTGGTACTCTTTACAAAACATAAATACAGTTTATAGACTAGCACATGGGCCAAATTATCCTGGACAATAACACTGACACCATGTGCAGTCGTGCCTCATCAGCAATTATTCATCAAAATGACACATCAATCAGCGTCTTAAATTAAACCCAAGTTCAACAATTTGAAAGAAAGCAGCTCATCTTCAGCCAGATCCCGACTTGCTTGACTGGGTTAGTGAACACAAATCCAATTCCCAACATTTAATTATTAACTGGATAAAACAGGAGCTGGTCTGAAAGAGTGTTTGGTAAACGAGTGAGACTAGGAAATGTTAAACTCTTAAAAGATTCAGGCAGCAGTCTCTGAATTTCCTATAGTCAGCGTGGGAGAGTTGCAATTTAATCCTCAGGCTCATGCTTGCAGTAATCATTAGTCCATGCCTGTAACACTGGGTCGATTGAATTCTCCATTGACACAGTGTGAGCAATCTTTCCTCTTCGACACTGCAAAGCTGCAGAAGGAATGCGCACTGACCTGAGATGGAATCAGTTTCAGTCTCTGCAGTAAGTTGTTACATCTCTGACGATGTAAACTTCATGACTGGGAACAGGAGTCTCATCCCTTTTCCTCTCACACACTGGTTAGGTGATCTCGACGTTACAATTTGTAGTGCACTGATTACACAATGAGCAGGAAATGGTCTGAACAGACATGTTCAATATATAGTCAGGGTTGACCAACGTTGCTATGCAGTACAATATGGGCAAAAACAAGGATGTGCATGTCCAGAATTCACCTTGATTGGAACCAGTCTCAATGTACTTAAGGTGATAATCAAGAATGATAAGGGCCATCCTCTAAAACTCAGTGGCTGAACTGCATTCTGTCGCTTGGGTTCGGGACAGACCGAGTTGGCGTTCCAGATCTATAGCCTGGTTCAGCACTTGCTCCTGATGGGTCTGCACTTGGCTCCTGGTGGACATTCCTTTGTGCTGGACATTCAAAGTGCACACAATGGAATACCTAGAGTAGGAAATGACGGTTAGAATTGTAACTCTAATCCTGTCTTACATGCCTCTGAATGAAGAGTCTGGATGTTTTAACTAAGACCTTAAATCTGTGAGTAAAGAAACTTGCCTAGTTATCAGATTAACTATGCAATCTTTCAAAAACTGTGCCACCCAGCTGTCTACAATAGAAAAGCACACAAAGGTTATATGACAGTACAGGATTGCAGTGTCACACATGTTCTTTGACATTATTGATCTTTTTACTTTGGCCATATTAGCTCGTTATGGAAATGAGACAAATTATTGAATGCCACTTCCCTTCCTCAGACTGCTTTTATTTACTTCCTTTTTATTAATTACTTGGCAGCTATTTGCTGATTCGACAATCAAATCAGCCATGATTTTATTGAATGCTGGAGAAGGCTCAAGAGGCTGAATGGCCTATTCCTTCTGCAAATTCCAGTGAGTTTATTATAAGCCATGTTATGATTTGTAAAACCCTTCAATCATCTACTATCTTTTTTGATTACATTAAAGGCCGATCATTTCAATCTAAAACAATTGGTCAAGAAAGGTTGTAAGGATAATATCAACAACTACAGATTAACTTTGGTTGTGGAGAAACTTCTAGAAACAATTATCCCGGAGAGAGTCAGGAATCACATGGAAAAAGGTGGCTTGATTAGGAAGAGTCGGTGTGGATTTCTCAAAGGAAAACTGTCTTTAATTAACTTGCTGGAGTATTTTGAAGAGGTAACAGATAGGCTTGATGAAGGTGATGCTTGTTGATGTAGTGTACATGGATTTCCAGAAAGTGTTTGAAACATTGCCACAGAACAAACCGGTGAGGAAAGGTATAGGTCATGGTTTAAAAACAGATACACCATTGGCTTAGGGTTAGGAAACAGAGTAACGGCTAATGGATATTTTTTGGGTTGGAGGAACGTTTGTCATGGAGTTCCCTAAGGGATCAATACTGGGGCCCCTGCCTTTCCTGAAATAATGATCTGGATCTTGCTGTGCAGGGGACAATTTCAAAGTTTACAGATGACATTAAACTTGGAAGAATTGTAAATTGTGAGGAGACAGTGTGGAACTTCAAAAAAGACATTGACACATTGGTGGAGTGAGTGGATAGGTGACAGATGAAGTTCACTGCAGAGAAGTGTAAGGTGAAGTGCTTTGGTCAGAAGAACGTTGGAAGTCAAAATAAAATAGGGGATGCAATTCTAAAGTGGGTGCATGAGCAGTGGGACTTGGGTGGATATGTGCACAGATCAATGAAGGTAGTAGGGAATATGGAGAGCAGTTAATAAAGCATACAATGGCTTTGGCTTTATTAATAGAGGCAAGAGCAAGGAAGTGATGTTGAACTTGTACAAGCCACTTATTAGACTTCAGTTGGAGTACTGTGTACAGTTGTGCGTGCCACATTACAGAAAAGATGTGAAGCATTTGGAAACGCTTAACACAATCAGAGTCAACCTGGTTTTGAGTAAGGGAAATCACGTTTGACAAATTTCCTAGAGTTCCTTGAGGATATAACAAGCAGTTTTGATAAGGGGGGACCAGTAGATTTTTTTTCTTTATTCATTCACAGGAGGAGAGGGTCACTGTTAGGCAGCATTTATTGCCCATCCCACTTGCGTGAGGGCAGTGGAGAGTCAACCACAGGATATAATATATTTGGATTTTCAGAAGGTATTCGACAAGGAATGACATAAAAGATTACTGCACAAGGTTGGAAACCTCATAGTATTACGATAATGTATTAGTGTCGATTGATTAACACACAGAAGGCAGGGTTTAGAATAATCCATCTTTCTGAAGTTGGAATGTCACAACTAGTGGAATGCCACATGGACCAATCCTAGGGTATCAATTATTTACCATCTATATTAATGATTTGGAAGAGATGGCACAGCGTTATGTATTCAAATGTTCTGATGATACAAAAATAAGTGGGAGTACATGTTCTGATGAGGATATAAGGAATCTGCAAGGGGATATAGATAGGCTGAGTGAGCGGGCAAAAACTTGGCAACTGGAATTTAATGGAGCGATAATGAAGTCATGCACTTTGGTAAAAAGAATCAGAAGACAGATTATTACTTCAAGGGAGAGATACTCCAAAATAGTGTAGTATAGAGGGATCTGGGTGTTTTGTGTATGAAACTTTACACAAAAATCTTTGCATACAGGTGTAGCAAGTAATTAAGAAGGCAAATGGAATTTTGGCCTTTAAGGCTTGGGGGTTTAGAGTTTTAAAACAGGGAAGTCTAATTACAACGTACAGGGTGCTGGTGAGGCCTCATCTGGAACACTTTTAGTCCCTGTATTTAAGATCATAAGACATTGGGGCAGAAGTAGGCCATTCAGGCCTTCAAGTCTGCTCTGTGACTCAATGAGACCATGACTGATCTGATAACCCTCAACCCCACTTTCCTGCCTTTTCCCCATTACACTTGATTCCCTTCCTGAATGAAAAGCTGCCTAGCTCAGCCCACTATACTTAATGACATAGCCTTGACAGCTCACTGAGCGAAGGAATTCCACAGATTCACCCTCTCTGAAAAAAATTTTCTCTTCATTGCAGTCTTAAGTATGCAACCCTTTATTCTGAGATTATGCCTTCTGGTTCAACACTTTCGCAGAAGGGGAAACAACCTCTCCACATCTACCCTGTCAAGTCCTTTCAAATATGGCAGCAGCTGTTGTGGTGTCCGGGCTATATCTACCACTGATTGGATGGTTTAGTGGGGTCCTTGGAAAAGCTCTACCCTAGTCCGAAAAGGCCCTGGTGGAGCACTGAGACGACATCAAACTTGACTATCTCGGAGGTATTAAAAGTCATAAGTTTTCTGCCAATGTTTCCAACAAGTAAGGGGTGTGCAAGACAAGAATTATAAATTCAGTCCAATAATCATGAATAAAATAACGTCTGATTTTTCTTTCGCATTAAAAAAAACACTATTTTCAAATACAATCTGCAATAGTTGTTCAACTTGGAAACTCAATCATTCAATCAAGTGAAACTGTGATTGGTGAGAATAAACAGCTGTGTTGTAATCAGCTTCAAGGTGAATGTTGTTTTAGAATTTACATAGAGCAGGACTTTAAGATCAGATAATACAAGCATATTTCAATAAGGTTGCCTCTCTTTTTTGCTCCATTCCAACATGAACCGGTATAAGCTACTCAACCCCTTCTCATAAGACAGTCCATCCATACCTGGTATCAGACTAGAAAACATTCTCTGGTATAACAAGTGTGGAGCTGGATGAACACAGCAGGCCAAATAGCATCAAAGAAGCAGGAAAGCTGACTTTTCGGGTCTGGACCTTCTTTAGAAGTCAGGGAGGGGAAGGGGGCTCTGAAATAAATAGAGAGGGGAGGCGATGATAGAAGGTGGATAGAGGAGCAGATAGGTGGAGAGAAGACAGACAGGTCAAGGAGACCGGGATGGAGCCAGTATAGGTGAGTGTAGGTAAGGAGTTGGGATGGGGGGTGGTCAGTGAGGAGGGAGGGGCGGGTAGGTAGGAGGGAAGATGGACAGGTCGAGGAGGCGGGGATGAGGCTAGTAGAAGTGAGGTGAGTGTAGGTAGGAAGTGGGGGTGGGGGTTGGTCAGTAAGGTGGCAGGAGACGGACAGGTCAAGGAGGCGGGGATGAGATGGGCTGGTCTTGGGATAAGGTTGGGGGCGGGGAGATTTTGAAGCTTGTAAAATCCACATTGAGACCATTGGGCTGCAGGGTTCCCAGGCGGAATATGAGGTGCTGTTCCTCCAGTTTTCGGGTGGCATCATTGTGGCACTGGAGGAAGCCCAGGATGGACATGTCAGAAACATTCTCTGGACTGCCTCCAAATGAGGAGCATAAAACCGTTCACAATATTCTAGTCATAGTCCGGCCAATGCCTTGTACAGTTTTAGTAAAACCCCCCTGCTTTTATTTAAGAAAGAATATACTGGTATTGGAGGCTGTCCAATAGAGATTCTCTCGGATGATTGCTGTGATGAAACAGTTGACTTGTCAAGAACGGCCAAACAGGTTAGGCATTTGATCAGTAGAGTTCAGAAGAATGAGAGGTGATGATTGAAACATATAAGATTCTGAGGTAGATGTTAAGAAGATGTTTTCATGAGCGGCAGTATCTCAGACTAGGGCACATCATGGCAGAATTAATGGATGGGCAATAAATTCTAGCCTAACCAGCAATGCCTACATCCCAGAATGAATGTTTTAAAAATAATTTAAAACTGAGAAGTGAAAGAATTTCTTCTCCCAGAGGGTAGTAATTGGCTGGAATTCTCTATCCGAGAAAGTTGTGGAGGCTAGGTAACTGAAAGCTCGTGAGGCACTGGCACCAGTACAGAGGTGGAAGGGAGCTAAAATGCTTGGGTCGATAAAATGTAGAGCTGGAGGACCACAGCAGGTCAGACAATATCAGTGGAGCAGGAAAGCTGATGTTTTAGGCTCGGACCCTTCATTAGGACCAGGGAGTGGGAACAGAGCTCAAAATTAAATGGGGGTGGGGCTGGGGGAAAGTAGGTGGGATGGTGATAGGTGGATGCAGGCAGGGGGCTATGGAGATTGGTCAATGGGAAGGGTGGGCGGATAGGTGAGAAGGAAGACAGACAGGTTGTGTCAGGACAAGGAGGCAGGGATGAGAGGGGGCGCCGGACATGGAATGAGGCCAGGGTGGTACCTAGGATGGGCTTCACTCGAATAGTGCTGGCACCAGGTGTCCTGATAAGTCAAATAACTAAAATTGGAGATAGGACTTTAAGCTTTAATGGGGGAAGAGTAGGGCAGGGCTAGGAGAGAGGAATAGTAGGGTTACAAGCCAAGAGCATATGGCAGCATTACAGTACAGGTATTTAGACAATGATACCCAAAGTGGGACAGGAAAAGATAGAGTGTACAAGTGTACAAAAAATGTAACAAATAGGGACAAAGAAGGAACAAAAAGGTAACAAGGCAAAACTAATTGATTTTAAATTGAATATTCACAG